GTATCAGACATTTTCTAAGGACATGGTCTAACGGACCGAATGCAAAACTTTTTTGTTTCAGCACTGACCTACCGTTTTTATGACTTTGTTGAAAGGACCATGAAATCTACTTTGTGCTGACGTGCGAAGAGTAAGTGTCTGTTAACCTTTTGATCCTCAAGAGGAGGGTTAACATTAAACATGGATTTGTTGACTGTTAACAAAGGAGTCGGACTGAACTGCTTTTGCTATTAGAGCCCCCCCTATCCCAATCCTCCCACCCTACCACCACTACCATCGCGCTCGACGCATATCCATGATAACATGTTAATATATAGCGAAGTCATTAAAGTTACACAGCTGTATCTTTATTACTGTACTACCAGTAGGTATAGCAAAGCCTATCATAGATTTTAGATCTGTATTAGTAGTATCCTAGATATATGCTCTGAGCGCAAACGCGGTGGCAGGAGAGCACACTTGATTCGGTTGCCAGTGAGTTTATCAGAAGAATACCTGGCTACAGTACACGTCAGTTGAGCGCTGTCGCTCTGCGGCACTTGTTGCTAGTATTTCGTTTTTCAAATTAGCCTAGACTGCCATGTCTCGGTTGAATGAGCTAACATTCAGTTGCTATTATCCTCTTTTGCAGTTTATATGCCATTGCTAAAAGCATGCATCAAAGTCATTTGAAGATCCGGCTAGTCTTAAAATTATTATCTCTCAAATAAATCAAAACCAAAATTAGGTCTCACCTCTTAAAATAGTATTACTGGACATAATACTGGTCACTCCAGCATAAATCTAAGAGTGTGCTGTTATAGGCTATAAAAGTTAAAACAGCAAATTTTATGAACAGTAAACTTGCACTTGCATTCGTGAGATTTGCTATGCATTTGCTTTGCAGATCATGAAATTGTTCTAGAGTGGTACGCACCCCAGCTCATAATGTAGACAAAGGACGCAAAAATTGTAGAGCTGTAGACAGAAAACAGTATATCAGTCGATGGCATCTCGTGGGATACGAGAATCACATGATGTTGAAATATGTAGACAAATCTACTTTGAAATACGGATCGGAGAATATATATATTGGTGAAAATGGTGTGTGTGTGTGTTCTAAGACAATTAAGTTAGCTTTATTTGTTGTATACACACAGTGTTATGCAAGAAATACGGGTAAGTATCAGAACGTGTCAAAATATGACAGTGGTTGGGAAAATATGGGAAAGCATTACTGGTGTGTGTGTGTGTGTGTGTGTGTGTGTGTGTGTGTGTGCGTGCGTGCGTGCGTGCGTGCGTGCGTGCGTGCGTGCGTGTGTGTGAGAGAGAGAAAAAAGTAAGACAGAGAGGGAGAGGGGAGGGGAGAGAGAATATTTGTCGTGTATTCTCAATTGGGCTGTCTACTTTTTACAATGACTGTTTTTTTTGTCAAAACTGTATTATTCAGTAATTGCGCCAAAATGGACACCGCCCAAAATTCACAACTGGGTTCATTTCTTCACAGAATAAATTATCAGGCCCTAAATACAATTAACCAAGCTCAAGGTTGGTAAATTTAATCACCGGATTTAAGGATAATTATAGGAGATTAAATCGTAACTTCCCCTGGAGTTAATCACTCAGGGCACTGCTCAACAATTGATAGTACACCTTTAAACCGATTGGTACTGCAAGGGTGTAATACCGTGAGAATGAAGTTGCCCATCCCTTCGAATGACTAAGCGTGGAATAGCTGTCATTCATCATGATTCGTGAGTCCCTAAATATGGCCCTAAATATAGCCAAGGCTACAAATGAATCTGATCCTGGGATCTAGTGATGATCAAGCTGACTAATATCCTGTGATAGCTCACAATTGACAGGATAGATGTAGGAAGAGTTAGAGTAACGACGAGATACCAGGTCTACATGAGGCAGGGTAGTCAAATTTTTTGGTGAGCAATCGCACTCAAGAGCCTGAGCTGAATGATCACGCGCCACACATCATATACAAAATGTCCAAAAATTATAACATATTAACATTACACTTACATTCTATCGACTATACGATATCGGTTTTACATTCAATGGCTAATTTCAAGGCTCTTTTGAGCTCTGCCAATAATGTGTGGACGGCCAAAATATAATCCGGTTTCAGCATAGTAGTATTCTTCTGTATCCATCTTTAAGCCACTTTGTTGTATAATATACCCAGTGTTCTTGCATATGTCACATTCCAGTATATACTTCCAAGGCAGATAGAAGACATACTGCAAAACTCTGATAAAACTCCAAACTCTGTCTCCAACATGTTCCATGTAGTAAAGTTTACCACCCTGGAAATATACGAATTAATATTAAGTTTTACAGAGTTAACCTTACATATTAAGTAACACCAACACTTTTGAACAGACTATTGAAATATAAGCACAGATACCTGATCTGTACGCTATATATATTTACACATACTCGGTTATATATGTGATTTCTACACATACCGTCATACGTATTTATAGTTCTTGTGTAATTTTCAGATCAACGCAACAGGTAATTAACCTAAAGATGAATAAATTGATTGCATAAAAATTGAGAAATTTAATGCATAAAAAATGGAAAAAACTGACCGGCTTAAGGATTCTCTTGACTTCTCGAAGTACAGCAGCGGCATCCAATACGCTGCAAAAGACTTGGGTTGCCACCACTGCATCTACACTGTCTGACGCTATCTCCCACATGTCCTCTGCATTTGCAATTTTAAAGGCAATCTTGGCAATATGTGGGTGTTGCGCAATGCATTCCTTTAAGTAGGCTTGATACTGTGGCTTGGTGTCGACACACGTGACTCGGCATTTTGCCGGATAGAATCCAAAGTTTGAGCCGCTACCAGCACCAATCTCTAGTATCTCTATCGCCATCGGGGATCCATGATGATGAAGATCAGAAAACAGCGCTGCTTTCCGTTTTTTTAGAAGCGCATTTTGATTTTTTGAATTACTTCTCTCGCTTTGAAAATACACATATCTTCGTAGTTTAATTAAGAGTGGTAACACGTACTTCCTAATTGAGTAAATCAGGACTAGGACAATGCAGATTTTACCCAGGTATTTGGAGATAATAGCATCTGCTTCTGCCATGATGATACTATGTTATCAGATTGTCCTTGATGCCTAGAAAATAAAAAAAAGTAACATATTAATGTACAAAGGATATAACAAATTATAAATGTGAAATCTTGTGTGTGTGTGTGTGTGTGTGTGTGTGTGTGTGTGTGTGTGTGTGTGTGTGTGTGTGTGTGTGTGTGTGTGTGTGTGACTCCACCAGCTTCCCCCTTCTCCCCTTCCTCCTTCTCCACCAGCTTCTCCCCCTCCTCCACTAGCTTCTCCCCCTCCTCCTTTTCCACCAGCTTCTCCCATCCTCCTCCACCCCCTTCTCCCTTCTCCCCTTCCTCCTTCCCCACCAGCTTCTCCCTTCTCCCCCTCCTCCCTTTCCTCCTTCTCCACCAGCTTCTCCCTTCTCCCCTTCCTCATTCTCCAGCTTCTCCTCCTCCACCAGCTTCTCCCCTCCTCCTCCACCACCTTCTCCCTTCTCTCCTTCCTCCCTCTCCACCTGCTTTTCCTTTCTCCCCCTCCTCCACCAGCTCCCTTCTCCCCTCCTCCCCTTCCTTCTCCACCAGCTTCTCCCTTCTCCCCTTCCTCCTTCTCCACCAGCTTTTCCCTTCTCCCCTTCCTCCTTCTCCACCAGCTTCTCCCTTCCCCCTCCACCACTTTCTCCCTTCTCCCCCTCCTCCACCAGCTTCTCCCCTCCTCATTCACCACCTTCTCCCTTCTCCCCTTCCTCCTTCTCTACCAGCTTCTCCCCCTCGTCCTCCACCAGCTTCTCTTTTCTCCCCTCCTCCTCCAGCAGCTCCCTTCTCCCCCTCCTCGCCTTCCTCCTCCACCAGCTTCTCCCCCTCCTCCACCAGCTTCTCCCTTCTCCGCCAGCTTCTCCCCTTCCTCCTTCTTCACCAGCTTCTCCCCCTCCTCCTCCTCCACCAGCTTCTCCCTTCTCCCCATTCCTCATTCTCCACCAGCTTTTCCTCCTTCTCCACCAGCTTCTCCACTCCTTCTCCACCACCTCCCTTCTCCCTTTCCTCATTCTCCACCAGCTTCTCCCCCTCCTCCTTCGCCACCAGCTTCTCCCTTCTCCCCCTCCTCATCCACCAGCTCCCTTCTCCCCTTCATCCCCGTCCTCCTTCTCTACCAGCTTCTCCCCCTCCTCCTTCTCCACCAGCTTCTCCCCCTCCTCCACCATCTCCCTTCTCCCCTTCCTCATTCTTTACTAGCTTCTCCCTACTCCACCTACTAGTACTACTCTAAACTTCCTCCTCCCTCCCCCTCCTTCTCCCCTTCCTCCTTCTCCACCAGCTTCTACCCCTCCTTCTCCACCAGCTTCTCCCTTCCCCCTCCTCCACCACCTTCTCCCTTCTCCCCCTCCTTCTCCTCCAACTTCTCCCCTCCTCCTTCACCACTTTCTTCCTTCTCCCCTTCTTCCTTCTCCACCAGCTTCTCCCCCACCTCCTCCACCAGCTTCTCCCCTCTTCCCCTCCTCCTCCACCACTCCCTTCTCCCCCTCCTCGCCTTCCTTCTTCTCCACTAGCTTCTCCCCCTCCTCCACCAGCTTCTCCCCCTCCACCACCTTCTCCCTTCTCCCCTTCCTCTTCCACCACCTTCTCCCTTCTCCCTTTCCTCCTTCTTCACCAGCTTCTCCCTCTCCTCCTCCACCAGCTTCTCCCTTCTCCATCAGCTTCTCCTTTCTCCCCTTCCTCATTCTCCACCAGCTTCTCCCCCTCCTCCTTCTCCACCAGCTTCTCCCCTCCTCCACCACCTTCTCCCTTCTCCCCTTCCTCATAGGGGGTTATACTGTTACACTGTTAGGAGTAATCATGGACAAACAATGCATGCATGGCTTGTGTAGGGTTGCTTTAAAATTTCCTCTCTGGAAAACCATTCGATATTGAAGAGACAAGGATTCTTTCTAGCATCGTGTTTATTGTATTTCAGTGGTGCTGCTGTGTTCACGACTAATTATCGCCAGTCTGATGAAATGAGGAATAAGTGTGTGGAGAAATGCCATAGCTCTGACATCCCCGTATGGTCGGAGAAACCTGATACTGCAGTGGCCAGGCGTGCTGTTTTTAGACAGAAGCAAGATCACATTATGGTGAGTTGCAAGCCGGGTAGAAATAAGGAGAAAAAAAGATGGTCCACATGACCATCTAGTTTGAAATTTAGATGGTCCTCCTAAATTTCAAATTGTTCTCATTGTTACATCATGCCATATATTTGCTATGGTCAACACTGCATTAGCAATAATCGAAACGTGGAAGCTTCAAAGAAAATTACCGTAAAATGGGACCGAAATATGCAATGGTCTGTTGGACCATTGACTTTAAAAATCGGATGGTCCTCCTGATTATTTGATGGCTCCGGACCATCGGACCATCGCTTATTTCGACCCCTGAGTTGGTTACAGCAACGTGATGCGTGATGCCACTTTCCTGAAGGTAACTTAGACTATAATATCATTATGCTATTCGAACGTATCTAAAAAAACGGATGAACCCATTACTCTCTTTAAGATACTGTGTTACTTACAGGAATTAAACTTTAATTTGCGGCCGCATTTTTTACAGTGCAATATGCTAATAGAATTACTGCAAAGCATGTAATCAACTAACATTATTATTTACAATTTTCGTCAGTGAATTAATTCGCACTGAGGTGGGGGGAAAGTCGAGCTGTGGCAACTCGTTTGGCAGTTATGCACATGGTCCAGTTTCATAAATTTGGCAGCACTGGATCTATCATGAGCGACGTTGCTATATCACTCACTAACATTGTATTAGGATAAAATGGTAATCACCGCAAGTGTAATTGACACCACAATGGTAAGTGTCTGATCACAATGTATGTGGACTTGAAATGACTCGTGTGGAAAACTGTGCATGCACACATGCAGGCAGGCGTGCACGTATACACACGCAGGCAGGCAAGCGTGGGCTCACATGGGCATGCACGCACGCACACACTCAGGGAGGCAAGCATGGGCGCACACGGGCATGTATGTACCTACGCGCTCAGAAATGCAAGCATGGGCTCACACAGTCATACACGCACGCGCGCACGCAGACAGGCAAGCATGGGCCCACACAGTCATGCACGCACGCACGCACGCAGGCAGGCAAGCATGGGCTCACACAGTTATGCACGCACGCACGCAGGCAGGCAAGCATGGGCTCACACAGTTATGCATGCACGCACGCACGCAGGCAGGCAAGCATGGGCTCACACAGTTATGCATGCACGCACGCACGCACGCAAATGGCTTTATTGAAAGGACCATGAAATGTACTTTCTGCTGACATGCGAAGAGTAAGTGTCGGATAACCTTTTGACCCTCAAGAGGAGGGTTAAACATTGATTTGTTTCTCAACTGCGTTGGCGAGTACCTGCGGTTGTGGAAAGCTCCCATTTTACAGTGAAATTCCACACATAACTCTTACTTGAACAACGCTTACTTAGGAGATAATGAGATGACTTATATATGAGATTCTGTAGTGTACATTATGAATAGTTGGAATACAGTCACTAGCACTCAAATAATTACCCAGGAGTGAGGCTCAGAGGAATTTTCTCATCAAATTTTTGGCACCAATATAGACACAAGTGTGTACGTTCTTGAGCTTATTCGGTCCACTAATCACTGGCCTACCTTGTACTGAAATTAGTTTACAGATACTTGCACGAGCTGCTCTGGTTGTATCAACCATTGAGCTATTTTGTAACGAGCCAGATGTGCCTCGCAAGCGGTTTAATGTACCTTATTACCTGACACCATAGAACGCACGTTATCTCTAGTAATAATATGGTAATTATTCACTCCTGCTTTTTGCAATCTGTCGTCACACTGACAGCTGCCATGCTTTGGCTGACGGATCCAACGAGGGTAATGCTATCCCCCGGGCGTGGAGGGAGGTTACCGCAACGTGGCAGCACTATACTAGTGTTAGGATAGTGTTAGGATTAGGGTTAGGGTCAGGGTTAGGGTTAGGGTTAGGATTAGGGTTAGGGATTGGGTTAGGGTTAGGGCTTTTGCATCATGATATCTGTCCCCACACCATAGATTAATTTTTGTGGATTTTTGGACCTATATATAGCGCTCCGAGATATATATGTTTAGTATTATGGTTATCGTTGGAGGTGTTGTAGTTAGCGTTACCGGATGAGTAATAATTTTGAAGTATACGTCAACTGTATCACGTGACCCCCCCTCCACGCCCGGGGGATAGCAACACCCATGCAACGATGCCTTTGATAGCGGCCCGCCATCTATCGGAATTTTATTACACTAGTTTGAAGTGTTGTTTTTTGGGGTTAGAAATGAACGTATGTATAGGACGTCTTGCTATGCACAAATGAATTTATCAGCAGAACACCAGACACCAGATGAGCCCTGTCGCTCTGCGGCACTTGTTGTTAGGGTTGGTGTTTTTGTGAAAATTGTTCTGACTGGCCTTCTCCTATGTCTACTTCCTCCCACACTGGATGGAGTATATATATTGTTAGCTAATTGGCGTGGAGGCGTGCGGCTAATTAACACGGCGCAGCAAGTTGACATAGCTGAATTGCGTTGACCAGGTGCTAGTACGCTCCTTCGATATTACTGTAATTGTATCCCCCGCGACGAAGTCGGCTTTATGTCTCCCCAGCGGCCGTCGCAGACAATTTCGCTTCCGCTCTATAACTCGACCCCTAATTGATCTAGCGCTACCAAACTTGGTATACTTACACATCTTGGGGAGAAGGTGAGCAGCGTACCAAAACCAGGTCACTGCGACCTTTATACACAGTTATGCATGCACGCACGCACGCAGACAGGCAAGCATGGGCTCACACAGTTATGCATGCACGCACGCACGCACGCACGCAGGCAAGCATGGGCTCACACAGCCGTGCATGCATACATGTACGCGTGCAACAAACAAATAAATCTTTTCTGAAACAAATAAATATTCTCTCCTGACTTTAAATATATCTAGTGAATATTATTATGGCATTAATTTTACTCTATGTAAATTTACGATGTATCTGACAACGGGCACTAGCACCATAAATGTGTCATATTACAACAAATTTGCAAAATATTCTTGTTAAAATTACAAAACAAACGTTTTGATTATGAAAATCAGGAAACTAAATCATGTGATTTCACTGCCTAATCAACGCTCGTAACATCAAAAAGTTACCTTTTAATTTTATCTCCCGTATACGAATTCAAGCTGATTTGATACATTTAAGCACGGTTACTAATGTTAGGGGCATATAACATCTCGCAAGTATTTGTGTACAGCATAATATGCCGATGTCTTGTATTGTTTAGGATTGATGCTCACTTGACTTTGAAACATGTGTAATGTATTCCTGAATTCCACAGTTCAACACCAAATATGTAATAAATATTTTCAGATTACTTTTATTCACTAGCTGCTCTATTAGTAAAAGTGTAATCTGCTTTCTTATTAAGCAACTGTTTATAGCTACCCTGAAATCCCTCATTCTCAAGGTCACCCATATTTTTGATATCAGCACATTGAACATGTTTTATTTTCTCGCGGTTTCAGAAAACTGCTAAAAATTTACTAAAGTTCCTAGTGGGAACTTCCGTCGTTCAAAATTCCCGGGAATTTTGCAACCCTATACTATATACACCTGCTGACTTTACCTGGTACCCTAGCTGCCTTACAACGTATTAACCAGCGAGCCGTGCAGCCGTGATTTGCACGGTCAGTTTTGAAACTGCACGGCCAAAAAAATAAAAAAATTTAAATTTAACAAATTTAAACATTTTCCGGGGGAGGCCCCCGTACTCCCCCCCCCCCCGTGAACGCCTACGGCGGTCTTGGCTGAGACACATAAAAATTGCGCTCCTACAATACTCATTCCTAGCTAATACCCTGCTGCTGCCTTATAGTCCAGGCATTTTGTGAAAAAAATGGGGTCAACCTCGGACAAATTGCAACAGAAAGTCTGTCAACTGTTTTATACCCAGAAAGATATCCTCTATAACATATCAAAACTCTTAAGGAATCCTGGTGGTGGAAGGTTCCATGGCGGCCGTTTTTCAAAATGGTCTCCATACAACTTATATTTCTTTATATCTCCGCTTCTAAATAACATCAGAGCTTTGATTTTAAGTGCTGAACATACATTTTCAGGGACAAGGAATCCATGACACACAATTTCAATAAGCCTAAACCTGACGAAAAAGCGAAATGCAGCCACAACCCCACAATGTCATGGTGCCTGTCACACAACGGTGCACTATTCCAACACTGAAGTTGTGTGTGAGCATGCTGCGTCGGCCATGGTGTTACGCCCATCATGCACCTTTGACGGCACACCACTATGGTGGAAAGCCGCTCTATGATCATGAAGACTGAGCGGCCACAAGAAGATAGTCTTGAATGACATCGTCTTGCGCCTGGGGCTTTCACCAGCAGAAATCGAGTTTTCTGGTAAGCATCGGGCACCTCATGGCTGGAATCAGGAACTGCAGGATTCTTGTAGCTAATCTATGCAGACAACGCGGTGGTACATATGATAGACAGAGCAAGCTATTGCGACGACAGTAGAGCAGACCATGCCTCCTTGTTGATGCGTGCACTGAATGCCTTGATTTTGTCAGACCGTACTTGATGTGGCCACCCCTCAACCATGCTGCAGAGGGCCACATGAAGTGGAGGAGAAACCAAATGAAGGCAAAGTGTCACCAGATGATTGAAGCCTACGACAGACGCGAACTGGTTAACACTGATCTTTGATGAACTGTTGCTGCCCGCTCTACAAAGAACCTGATAGTAAAGGTTTCGTGTCTGCAGAAGGAGAGTTCTGCTAAAGAGATGTGTTAACCAGGCACCAAGGAGCTCCTCAAGGGCCAAAACGCGGAATTCTTGAAAGTCCCTAGGACTACGCAATCATTTTGGTTAGCAGTACATGGAGATGGTGGGCATACTACGCGAAGTTTGTCACGAGCAAGAGCGGCATTGGCAATGGGCGTTGCACCTTGAAGCTGTAAGTCAGAAATGCTGCGCTAACCCTGACAGCGCTGCTGGGCACAACGCTCTACAACCAATATCAGCACGCAGCCTCTATGTGGCAGGC